GGGTTGACATCAATACTGTACACAGGTAAGATAGGGAACTAGGGATCGAGCCCTGGGATCTGCATTCGCTACTGCGAACTGGTGATTACCGTTTCAGACAGAAATCCAAGTTGCAAAATCAGGAAGTAGCTCAGATAGTCATGAACAGAGCAGAGAGTGCAATGCAACAAGATACCGTCCAAATAAGAGCAATACAATGAAATCAAATGTCAATGTCGCCACTCGCTGGTCACACCAACACTGTATCCAATGTCACACTTACTGTCTGGCATCCAGCGCCCAGCCTATCCTACTCAGCCTATCTAACCTATCTACGTTCTTGCAACTGGATCTCTCTGAAGTCGAAGACCAATGTACGCGATGTCAACACCAATGCCGATCTCGTCATCACCCCTCGTATCCCCCCAGCATGCGCGTCCTACCCGAAGACCACCTTCACCATCATCTGCCTTCCGCCCATGCACCCCGGCTATGGCTGCTATGTGCCCTCTGCCCTTGCAGCGCCCCTCACCTCAGCGCCCGCGCGCGCGTCCGACCAGCAGCGCCCATGCAGACACTTGCGCAGCAACGCAGCAGCCTGTCCGCATTGCCTGCCTAGGCCAGAATGCCCCTGCCTGGACTCAGTGGACTGGCCTCTTTCCTTTATGGAAAGTGCAGCCCCTGTGTGTGTCTGCCTGGGCCTGGCTGGGGAAGTTTCCAGTAGCTTCCAGTCGGGCCCCAGTCTGTGTGCCCAGGCCCATTAAGGGCCTGGGCCCTTTTTTGTTGGGCACATATAGGTAGCCTCCCAGGCTTCAAGGGTTGGGCACATTCTCATTCGCTCGTGGAGATTGTGTGACGACAATGATGCTTTCTCATTCGTCTGTGGCCGCTGCGTGATGTGTCGGCCTCACGTTGCGTGTGCCCAGGGTGCAACCACCCGGTCCTGGGCTCAACAGTACAGTGCAGTCCTTGTTTTCTGGAAAGAGCCTGGAGGCTCACATTTCCCTGCAACCAACTGGCGTGCTGCAACTGTCTGTGTACACACATATGGAAAATGTCGAAAACAGGCCTCTTGTGGATATTCAGGCCCGCCTTCAGTTAGGGCGGGCATAAGGCTTGCTGGGGCCCACAGCCGAGAACACTTGCATGTCTGTTAGGGCCCCTTGGGGGCTCTGTCCTCACACACTAGAAAGGACTCGTTGTCATGGAGCTGAGCAGCTTCAGGTAATTCCGAAGTATTCAATTTCGTTCATCTAGTTCCACTGGTATTCGAACTCACGTCTGTCATTTCGACAGTTCACGGGTGTACCACTGAGCTCCGCTGTTCCTTTTTTCTTTTTTTCCTTTTTTTAAGGTTGACGGCCTTGTCGTATCATTATCGGACTGAACGGCCCCAGGTAATTCAGAGATCAGAGAGGTATTTGCAAGGAAGATGAGCGATAGCGAACTTCAGCAATCAAACAGCATCATACACATAAGACCATAGTCGTGACCTCGAACCAACAGCAGAATTGCATCACGAGTTTCACCAAATAAGAACACACCAAGAGTTCATAATTGACAATGCTGAAATAGTCTCATCATCATCATCAACGAAGAACCAATGTTGATATCCTATCTGGCGCTTGGCGCCCAGACTACAGATGGCAGATCCTATCTGGCCTATACTACAATGCCGAAGATCACGACAACAGCTTCACTGAAGTACGAGCAGATCTCGGACAATGCCGTCGCTTCTAGCACCATGTATGTCTCTCGTATCACTCAAAACCTCGTTCCCCAACACACAAATGCCACACGCTCCCAAGGACCACCCTGCGCCACACCCAGCTTAAGCAGCGCAGCTCGGCTATGGCTGCCTGCTCCTTCCTGCTCGCCCGTGAGCGCGTGAGTGCCAGCGAGCTTCAGCGCAGCAGCGCTTGCGCAGCATGCAGCCAGCACCCGAATGCCAAATGCGGAGGCAGGCCCTTTGCTATATGGAAGTGACCTGCCTGCTTGCTGTCCCAGGCTGCGCTGGGCCTTTCCCAAGAAGCTTCCGGTAGGCCCCGGTAGGCTGAGGCCCAGTCCACACAACTCAGGCCCTGGGCCTGTAGTGGTTGCTCGCGCCCAACTGTCAACGGCCTGTGTTAGGCCCACATCTCGTATCCAGCCCAGGGCCTGCCTTCGATACATTCAAACAGGCTGCCAGGGCGTGGATTCTTCCAACCAACTGGCGCTGCGCAACTCCCTGAATTTCCTTGAGTTGCGTGGTGACCGAAATAGGGGCCCTCAGGCCCTCGTCGTGCCTGCCTTCACTTAGGACGACCGACGTGATACTTGGCAGGGCCTGAAAGGGGCTCA